GTGGTGATGGTGGCGGTGATGGTGGTGTTGATGGTGGTGGTGATGGAGGTGGTGATGGTGGCGGTGATGGGGGTGGTGATGGAGGTGGTGGTGGTTATAGTGGTGGTGATGGAGGTGGTGGTGGTGATAGTGGTGGTGATGGTGGTGGTGATAGTGGTGGTGATGGAGGTGGTGGTGATGGTGATGGAGGTGGTGATGGAGGTGGTGATGGTGGTATGGAGGTGGTGATGGTGGTGATGGAGGTGGTGATGGAGGTGGTGATGGAGGTGGTGGTGGTGGTGATAGTGGTGGTGATGGAGGTGGTGGTGATGGTGGTGGTGATGGTGGTGGTGATGGAGGTGGTGATGGTGGTGATGGAGGTGGTGATGGAGGTGGTGATGGAGGTGGTGATGGAAGTGGTGATGGTGGCGGTGATGGTGGCGTTGATGGTGGTGTTGATGGTGGTGTTGATGGTGGTGGTGATGGAGGTGGTGATGGTGGTGATGGTGGTGGTGATGGTGGTGATGGAGGTGGTGATGGAGGTGGTGATGGTGGCGGTGATGGGGGTGGTGATGGAGGTGGTTATAGTGGTGGTGATGGAGGTGGTGGTGGTGATAGTGGTGGTGATGGAGGTGGTGGTGGTGATAGTGGTGGTGATGTAGGTGGTGGTGATGGAGGTGGTGATGGAGGTGGTGATGGTGGTATGGAGGTGGTGGTGGTGATGGTGGTGGTGATGGTGGTGGTGATGGAGGTGGTGATGGTGGTGATGGTGGTGATGGAGGTGATGGAGGTGGTGATGGAAGTGGTGATGGTGGCGGTGATGGTGGTGTTGATGGTGGTGGTGATGGAGGTGGTGATGGTGGCGGTGATGGGGGTGGTGATGGAGGTGGTGGTGGTTATAGTGGTGGTGATGGAGGTGGTGGTGGTGATAGTGGTGGTGATGGTGGTGGTGATAGTGGTGGTGATGGAGGTGGTGGTGATGGTGATGGAGGTGGTGATGGAGGTGGTGATGGTGGTATGGAGGTGGTGATGGTGGTGGTGATGGTGGTGGTGATGGAGGTGGTGATGGTGGAGGTAATGGTGGTGGTGATGGAGGTGGTGATGGAGGTGGTGATGGAGGTGGTGATGGAGGTGGTGGTGGTGGTGATGGAAGTGGTGATGGAGTTGGTGATGGTGATGATGGTGGCGGTGATGGAGGTGGTGATGGAGGTGATGGTGATGGTGATGATGGAAGTGGTGATGGAGGTGATGGTGGTGATGGAGGTGGTGATGGAGGTGATGGTGGTGGTGATGGTGGTGATGGAAGTGGTGATGGAGGTGATGGTGGTGATGGAGGTGGTGATGGAGGTGATGGTGATGGTGGTGATGGAAGTGGTGATGGAGGTGATGGTGGTGATGGAGGTGGTGATGGAGGTGATGGTGATGGAGGTGGTGATGGAGGTGATGGAAGTGGTGATGGAGGTGGTGATGGTGGTGATGGTGGCGGTGATGGTGCTGGCGAGTTTCTCACAACAGCAGGGAGTGAGCGTTATTGATTCCCCATCCAAGTAATTTGACCTTCGCCCTCCCACCTTTGTATCCCCCCCCCACCACCCCCCACCCCCCCACACCGAGGTGAGAGTTCTCTGGAAGGCGACCAGCGTGGGGGTGACGTCATCTTTATGGTGGTGGTGATGATGATGGGTTGTGATCGTGGGGGTGGTGGTCGTGGTGGTTGTAGTGATGGTGGTTGTTGTAGTAGTGGTGGTTGTTAGTAGTAGTGGTGGTGGTTGTTGTAGTAGTGGTAGTTGTTGTGGAAGCTGGTTGAAGTGGTTGTAGTGGTTGTGGTTGTAGTGATGGTGGTTGTAGTGCTAGTGATGGTGGTTGTAGTGGTTGTGATGGTGGTTGTGGTGGTTGTGATGGTGGTTGTAGTGATGGTGGTTGTAGTGGTTGTGGTTTAAGTGATGGTGGTTGTAGTGGTAGTGATGGTGGTTGTAGTGGTTGTGGTTGTAGTGATGGTGGTTGTAGTGGTTGTAGTTGTAGTGGTAGTGATGGTGGTTGTAGTGGTAGTGATGGTGGTTGTAGTGGTAGTGATGGTGGTTGCAGTGGTTGTGGTTGTAGTGGTAGTGATGGTGGTTGTAGTGGTAGTGATGGTGGTTGTAGTGGTAGTGATGGTGGTTGTAGTGGTTGTATTGATGGTGGTTGTAGTGGTTGTGGTTGTAGTGATGGTGGTTGTAGTGGTAGTAGTTGTAGTGGTAGTGATGGTGGCTGTAGTGGTTGTGATGGTGGTTGTAGTGGTAGTGATGGTGGTTGTAGTGATGGTGGTTGTAGTGGTTGTAGTGGTAGTGATGGTGGTTGTAGTGGTAGTGATGGTGGTTGCAGTGGTTGTAGTGGTAGTGATGGTGGTTGTAGTGGTTGTGATGGTGGTTGTAGTGGTTGTGATGGTGGTTGTAGTGGTGGTGATGGTGGTTGTAGTGGTTGTGGTTGTAGTGGTAGTGATGGTGGTTGTAGTGGTTGTGATGGTGGTTGTAGTAGTGGTGGTGATTGTAGTTGTTGTAGTGATTGTAGTGGTTGTGATGGTGGTTGTAGTGGTTGTGATGGTGGTTGTAGTTGTTGTAGTGCTTGTAGTGGTAGTGATGGTGGTTGTAGTGGTAGTGATGGTGGTTGTAGTTGTTGTAGTGGTTGTGATGGTGGTAGTAGTGGTAGTGATGGTGGTTGTAGTGGTAGTGATGGTGGTTGTGGTGGTTGTGATGGTGGTTGTAGTGATGGTGGTTGTAGTGGTTGTGGTTGTAGTGATGGTGGTTGTAGTGGTAGTGATGGTGGTTGTAGTGGTTGTGGTTGTAGTGATGGTGGTTGTAGTGGTAGTGATGGTGGTTGTAGTGGTTGTAGTTGTAGTGGTAGTGATGGTGGTTGTAGTGGTAGTGATGGTGGTTGTAGTGGTAGTGATGGTGGTTGCAGTGGTTGTGGTTGTAGTGGTAGTGATGGTGGTTGTAGTGATGGTGGTTGTAGTGGTAGTGATGGTGGTTGTAGTGGTTGTAGTGATGGTGGTTGTAGTGTTGGTGGTTGTAGTGGTTGTGGTTGTAGTGATGGTGGTTGTAGTGGTAGTAGTTGTAGTGGTAGTGATGGTGGCTGTAGTGGTTGTGATGGTGGTTGTAGTGGTAGTGATGGTGGTTGTAGTGATGGTGGTTGTAGTGGTAGTGATGGTGGTTGTAGTGGTAGTGATGGTGGTTGCAGTGGTTGTAGTGGTAGTGATGGTGGTTGTAGTGGTTGTGATGGTGGTTGTAGTGGTTGTGATGGTGGTTGTAGTGGTGGTGATGGTGGTTGTAGTGGTTGTGGTTGTAGTGGTAGTGATGGTGGTTGTAGTGGTAGTGATGGTGGTTGTAGTGGTAGTGATTGTGGTTGTAGTGGTTGTAGTGATGGTGGCTGTAGTGGTTGTGATTGTGGTTGTAGTGATGGTGGTTGCAGTGGTTGTAGTGGTAGTGATGGTGGTTGTAGTGGTAGTGATGGTGGTTGTAGTGGTAGTGATGGTGGTTGTAGTGGTAGTGATGGTGGTTGTAGTGGTTGTAGTGGTAGTGATGGTGGTTATAGTGGTTGTGATGGTGGTTGTAGTGGTTATGATGGTGGTTGTAGTGCTGGTGATGGTTGTAGTGATGGTGGTTGTAGTGGTTGTGATGGTGGTTGTAGTAATGGTGGTTGCAGTGGTTGTAGTGGTAGTGATGGTGGTTATAGTGGTAGTGATGGTGGTTGTAGTGGTTGTGGTTGTAGTGGTTGTGGTTGTAGTGGTAGTGATGGTGGTTGTAGTGGTAGTGATGGTGGTTGTAGTGGTAGTGATGGTGGTTGTAGTGGTAGTGATGGTGGTTGTAGTGGTTGTGATGGTGGTTGTAGTGGTAGTGATGGTGGTTGTGATGGTGGTGGTAGTGGTAGTGATGATGGTGGTTGTAGTGGTAGTGATGATGGTGGTTGTAGTGGTTGTAGTGGTAGTGATGGTGGTTATAGTGGTTGTGATGGTGGTTGTAGTGGTTATGATGGTGGTTGTAGTGGTGGTGATGGTTGTAGTGATGGTGGTTGTAGTGGTTGTGATGGTGGTTGTAGTGATGGTGGTTGCAGTGGTTGTAGTGGTAGTGATGGTGGTTGTAGTGGTTGTGGTTGTAGTGGTTGTAGTGGTAGTGATGGTGGTTGAAGTGGTAGTGATGGTGGTTGAAGTGGTAGTGATGGTGGTTGTAGTGGTTGTAGTGGTAGTGATGGTGGTTGTAGTGGTTGTGATGGTGGTTGTAGTGGTAGTGATGGTGGTTGTGATGGTGGTAGTAGTGGTAGTGATGATGGTGGTTGTAGTGGTAGTGATGATGGTGGTTGTAGTGGTTATAGTGGTTGTAGTGGTTGTAGTGATGATGGTGGTTGTAGTGGTAGTGATGATGGTGGTTGTAGTGGTTGTAGTGGTTGTAGTGATGATGGTGGGAGTAGTGGTTGTGATGATGGTGGTTGTAGTGGTTGTAGTGGTTGTAGTGGTTGTAGTGATGATGGTGGTTGTAGTGGTAGTGATGATGGTGGTTGTAGTGGTTGTAGTGGTTGTAGTGATGATGGTGGTAGTAGTGGTAGTGATGATGGTGGTTGTAGTGGTAGTGATGATGGTGGTTGTAGTGGTAGTGATGATGGTGGTTGTAGTGGTTGTAGTGATGGTGGTTGTAATGGTTGTAGCGGTGCCGACCGCGAGTTTCTTTGACACACCATCGTGACCCCCACCATCACCCCCCACCACCACACCCCCCCACCACCACCCCCCACCACCACCCACCACCCACCACCACCCCCCACCACCACCACCCCCCACCACTCCCCACCACCACAACCCCCCACCACCACGCCCCACCACCACCACAACGCACCACCACCACAACCCACCACCACACACCACCACCACACACCCCCAACCCCCACCACCCCCACCCCCCACCACCCCCCACCACCACCCCCCACCACCACTGCCCACTACCACCCCCCCACAAAAGCCACCCGGCCACCGTCACAATGCATCTCCCACTCACCTTGGCATCCTGACGACATCCCGAGCACGAACCGCAGGAGAGCGAGCAACAGGAGGGGGAGGAGGGGGAGGAGGAGGTGGAGGAGGTGGTGGTGGTGGTGGAGGAGGTGGTGGTGGTGGGGGAGGTGGTGGTGGAGGTGGAGGAGGTGGTGGTGGAGGTGGGGGAGGAGGTGGAGGAGGTGGAGTAGGTGGTGGTGGGGGAGGTGGTGTAGGAGGTGTAGGTGGAAGAGGAGGTGGTGGAGGTGAAGGTGGAGGAGGAGATGGAGGAGGTGGAGGAGGAGGTGGAGAAGGAGGTGGGGGAGGAGGTGGAAGAGGAGGTGGAGGAGGAGATGGAGGAGGTGGTGTAGGAGATGTAGGTGGAGGAGGAGGTGGTGGAGGAGGTGAAGGTGGAGGAGGAGATGGAGGAGGTGGAGGAGGAGGTGGAGAAGGAGGTGGGGGAGGAGGTGGAAGAGGAGGTGGAGGAGGAGATGGAGGAGGTGGTGTAGGAGGTGTAGGTGGAGGAGGAGGTGGTGGAGGAGGTGAAGGTGGAGGAGGAGATGGAGGAGGAGGTGGAGAAGGAGGTGGGGGAGGAGGTGGAAGAGGAGGTGGAGGAGGAGATGGAGGAGGTTGTGTAGGAGGTGTAGGTGGAGGAGGAGGTGGTGGAGGAGGTGAAGGTGGAGGAGGAGATGGAGGAGGAGGAGGAGGAGATGGAGGAGGTGGAGGAGGAGGTGGAGAAGGAGGTGGGGGAGGAGGTGGAAGAGGAGGTGGAGGAGGAGATGGAGGAGGTGGGGTAGGAGGTGTAGGTGGAGGTGGTGCAGGAGGTGAAGGTGGAGGAGGTGGAGGAGGAGATGAAGGAGGTGGAGGAGGTGAAGGTGGAGGAGGAGGTGAAAGTGGAGGAGGTGGTGTAGGAGGTGGTGGAGGAGGTGGAGGAGGAGGAAGTGGAGGAGGAGGTGAAAGTGGAGGAGGTGGTGTAGGAGGTGGAGGTGGTGGAGGAGGTGGAGGAGGAGGTGGAGGTGGTGGAGGAGGTGGAGGAGGTGGTGTAGGAGGTGGAGGAGGAGGTGGAGGAGGAGGAGGTGGAGGTGGTGGAGGAGGAGGTGGTGGAGACACACGGAGAGGGAACAAAAGAGGTTGACAGACGGTCACTACAACGCCTCGTCACACCACCACCACCGCCACCACCACCACCACCACCAACACCACCAACACCACCACCACCAACACCACCACCAACACCACCACCAACACCACCACCACCACCACCGTCACCACCACCACCACCACCAACACCACCACCACCACCAACACCACCACCACCACCAACACCACCACCACCACCACCGCCACCACCACCACCATCATCACGACGACGACAATCCCCGGCCTGCAGGAGGAAACCGCTGAGAGTGGGACGACGACGTTTCGGGCGCTGACCCTTCTTCACAATAAACAACAACACCACCACCACCACTGCCACCACGACCACCACCGCCACCGCCACCACCACCGCCACCACCACCACCGTCACCACCACCACCACCACCGTCACCACCACCACCACCATCACCACCACCACCACCACCACCGCCACCACCACCACCACCATCACCACCACCACCACCACCGCCACCGCCACCACCACCACCGCCGCCGCCACGGGGAGAGGCCAGGGAGATGACCCGAGGGTTAAGATCGCGTCAATATATAACTAGTGTTGTGTTGTTAAACCCGCCACCACCTGACACGGCTAATTGGTAAGGGGGTTGTCCCGTAAACAGAACGTGGCCAAATCGTTACCAGTACAGCACTAACCGGTCGTGTGTTGGAGAGTAAACCCACAACATTCACAATTGTAAACCCAGAACATTTACAATTGTGTTGTAAATGTTGTGGATTAACTCTCCAACACACAGCTGGTTAGTGCTGTACTAGTAACGAATTGTAAATGTTGTAGGGGTTTAACTCTCCAACACACAGCAACCGGTTAGTGCTGTACAAGTAACGAATTGTGAATGTTGTAGTGGGTTTAACTCTCCAACACACAGCAACCGGTTAGTGCTATACTAGTAACGAATTGTAAATGTTGTAGTGGGTTTAACTCTCCAACACACAGCAACCGGTTAGTGCTGTACTAGTAACGAATTGTGAATGTTGTAGTGGGTTTAACTCTCCAACACACAGCAACCGGTTAGTGCTGTACTAGTAACGAATTGTAAATGTTGTAGTGGGTTTAACTCTCCAACACACAGCTGGTTAGTGCTGTACTAGTAACAAATTGTAAATGTTGTAGTGGGTTTAACTCTCCAACACACAGCAACCGGTTAGTGCCGTACTAGTAACGAATTGTAAATGTTGTAGTGGGTTTAACTCTGTAACACACATCAACCGGTTAGTGCTGTACTAGTAACGAATTGTAAATGTAGTAGTGGGTTTAACTCTCCAACACACAGCAACCGGTTAGTGTGATAAGTCTACGGGTCTCTGTGTGGTGAGTATATGGGTCTCTGTGTGATGAGTATGTGGGTCTCTGTGTGACGAGTCTATGGGTCTCTGTGTGATGAGTCTGTGGGTCTCTGTGTGACGAGTTTATGGGTATCTGTGTGATGAGTATATGGGTCTCTGTGTGATGAATCTACAGGTCTCTGTGTGATGAGTCTATGGGTCTCTATGTGATGAGTCTATGGGTCTCTATGTGATGAGTCTATGGGTCTCTGTGTGATGAGTCTATGGGTCTCTGTGTGAGTAATCTATGGGTCTTTGAGTGATGAGTCTATGGGTCTCTGTGTTATGAGTCTATGGGTCTCTGTGTGATGACTCTATGGGTCTCTGTGTGATGAGTATATGGGTCTCTGTGTGTGAGTCTGTGGGTCTCTGTGTGACTAATCTATGGGTCTCTGTGTGATGAGTCTATGGGTCTCTGTGTGGTAAGTCTATGGGTCTCTGTGTGATGAGTCTATGGGTCTCTATGTGATGAGTCTATGGGTCTCTGTGTGATGAGTCTATGAGTCTCTGTGTGATGAGTCTATGGGTCTCTGTGTGATGAGTCTATAGGTCTCTGCGTGATGAGTCTACGGGTCTCTGTGTGATGAGTCTATGGGTCTCTATGTGATGAGTCTATGGGTCTCTGTGTGATGAGTCTATGGGTCTGTGTGATGAGTCTATAGGTCTCTGTGTGATGAGTCTGTGGGTCTCTGTGTGATGAGTCTATGGGTCTCTGTGTGATGAGTCTATGGGTCTCTGTGTGGTGAGTCTATGGGTCTCTATGTGATGAGTCTATGGGTATCTGTGTGATGAGTCTATGGGTCTCTATGTGATGAGTCTATGGGTCTCTGTGTGATGAGTCTATTGGTCTCTGTGTGATGAGTCTATGGGTCTCTGTGTGATGAGTCTATGGGTCTCTATGTGATGAGTCTATGGGTCTCTGTGTGAGTAATCTATGGGTCTTTGAATGATGAGTCCATGGGTCTCTTTGTGATGAATCTATGGGTCTCTGTGTGATGAGTCTATGGGTCTCTGTGTGAGTAATCTATGGGTCTTTGAGTGATGAGTCTATGGGTCTCTTTGTGATGAATCTATGGGTCTCTGTGTGATGAGTCTATGTGTCTCTGTGTGATGAGTCTATGGGTCTCTGTGTGACTAATCTATGGGTCTCTATGTGATGAGTCTATGGGTCTCTGTGTGATGAGTCTATGGGTCTCTGTGTGATGAGTCTATGGGTCTCTGTGTGATGAGTCTATGGCTCTGTGTGTGATGAGTCTATGGGTCTGTGTGTGATGAGTCTATGGGTCTCTGTGTGATGAGTCTGTGGGTCTCTGTGTGACTAATCTATGGATCTCTGTGTGATGAGTCTATAGGTCTCTGTGTGACTAATCTGTGGGTCTCTGAGTGACTATTCTATGGGTCTCTGTGTGATGAGTCTATGGGTCTCTGTGTGACTAATCTATGGGTCTCTGTGTGATGAGTCTATGGGTCTCTATGTGATGAGTCTATGGATCTCTATGTGATGAGTCTATGGGTCTCTGTGTGATGAGTCTGTGGGTCTGTGTGTGATGAGTCTATGGGTCTCTGTGTGATGAGTCTATGGGTCTCTGTGTGATGAGTCTATGGGTCTCTGTGTGATGAGTCTATGGGTTTCTGTGTGATGACTCTATGGGTCTCTGTGTGATGAGTATATGGGTATCTGTGTGTGAGTCTGTGGGTCTCTGTGTGACTAATCTATGGGTCTCTGTGTGATGAGTCTATGGGTCTCTGTGTGGTGAGTCTATGGGTCTCTGTGTGATGAGTCTATGGGTCTCTGTGTGATGAGCCTATGGGTCTCTATGTGATGAGTCTATGGGTCTCTGTGTGATGAGTCTATGGGTCTCTGTGTGATGAGTCTATAGGTCTCTGCGTGATGAGTCTACGGGTCTCTGTGTGATGAGTCTATGGGTCTCTATGTGATGAGTCTATGGGTCTCTGTGTGATGAGTCTATGGGTCTCTGTGTGATCAGTCTATGGGTCTGTGTGATGAGTCTATAGGTCTCTGTGTGATGAGTCTGTGGGTCTCTGTGTGATGAGTCTGTGGGTCTCTGTGTGATGAGTCTATGGGTCTCTGTGTGATGAGTCTATGGGTCTCTGTGTGGTGAGTCTATGGGTCTCTATGTGATGAATCTATGGGTCTCTGTGTGATGAGTCTATGGGTCTCTATGTGATGAGTCTATGGGTCTCTGTGTGATGAGTCTATGGGTCTATGTGAGATGAGTCTATGGGTCTCTATGTGACGAGTCTATGGGTCTCTGTGTGATGAGTCTATTGGTCTCTGTGTGATGAGTCTATGGGTCTCTGTGTGATGAGTCTATGGGTCTCTGTGTGATGAGTCTATGGGTCTCTGTGTGAGTAATCTATGGGTCTTTGAATGATGAGTCTATGGGTCTCTTTGTGATGAATCTATGGGTCTCTGTGTGATGAGTCTATGGGTCTCTGTGTGATGAGCCTATGGGTCTCTGTGTGATGAGTCTATGGGTCTCTATGTGATGAGTCTATGGGTCTCTGTGT